CCAGGTGCCGGATCGTTGGCTGGCCCAACATCCCTTTTGACAACATAACGAGTGTAACGGAGTTATGGTCAAAAGGTTAGTGGAAATTATACCGGGGCCAAAATCTCTCAGAATGAGGACACTTTGAGGAAAACCGCCGTTTCTCGTCGAGCTTTGCCAAACGGCGCCCGGCCCCCGTTCCAACTGCCATTTTATTGTCACGGCATGGCTCTCTGGGGTCGCTTTTGGGGGCGCGGGCCCGTAGGGGGGCGAAGGACTATGGGGCCTCGGTCCGCCAGCGTCGCCGACCCTCGAATTCCGTCGAATCGCGGCCGGAGTCCCTTCGAATCGCTTTTTTGATGTGCAATCGTGGTTGTTGTGGGTTGCTTTGGGCTCCGCGATGGCATGGTGTGGTTGGTGGACGGGCGAGGGAGCCACGCGTTCGCGCGGCGCCGCGGTTGCACTTGCCGCCTTCCTAGACACCTGGTCACGGGCAGTTCGCTGCTTCTGCTATAGAACCACGTCTTGGAGAAGCGGGAATCGTGCCCCGAAGGAATTGAGGGCGGGAGAACGCGCCGGAGATGCGCGGGGACCCCGGTCCCGAAGACATCGCCGCGTTCCCCGCGCACCACAGAGATGGCCTTCTATTCGCGCGGGCTGGCGCATGCAAATGAGAGAAGTGCATTCACCTTGTGGTCGTGGCGCTCACAAGGCCGGGAGGCCGTTCTTCCGGTCCCCGTTTGCGGCCGGACCATGCATGCCAAGGGGCCCATACCCTTGCTGGCCGGTCCGCCGGCCACTCTCCTGCCACCGCGATGCTTCCATGGCTCAATTACCTATTGAATAAAGCGCGGCCAGTGCGCAAACAGCAAGCTCGAATGGCAAAATGGAAACCCTGGCACAATTTGGCCGGTCAACTCTGCCCGCCCCCACCTTCCCCGCTTTGCACTGGGACAAACGCCGCCTCGCGATAAAAGCTTGCCCTGACTGCCTGCAATGATTGATGTGGGCCGTGATTCGAGACGTGTTGGAGAGGGGCAGTTTCCGGCAGCAGGGACAGTATGAGCCGGGCCTAGGGCTTTAAATCGCCGCACAAGTGGTTCAATCTCACAGGACTCGGAAGGCCCGAAGTAGAGTTAGTTGTAGCCGGGGTTTGACTTGGAGATTCGCTTGAGGAAGACTTGTCTCCCGAGGGGGACATCTCAGAAGGATCAGACTTGATGGATTCGGACCGTGCCGAAGATAAAAACCGCACGGCGAGGACGAATGTAAACACTGACGAACTGTGGTGAAACCACTTGGCAGTACATTTGGTTGTTGGAATGGATTGTTGCTACGATTCTGTATCAATAGGGAGTCTATTGGCGTGTGGGGATACTTGGGTACGACCGGAGGGGTCATCTAGGGACTTGTCATCACAAGGGAATGGACAACGGGTCAACGTGAAACTGTCCCTCTCCCCATCCCGTCCATCTGAGTTCAGACCCGGTTCAGACCACTGGGGCTACGTCTTCCCCACGCCCCATAGCGCGGCTAGGAAAGCGAGACTCGGACATGCCTCAAGATACTGTACCAAAACGTCGAGCGGAAGCTCGAGAAGAGCCTCTTTATACGTGAGCTGCTGCTACACATTGTAGAGTACGATATCGTCGTTTTCGCTGAAGCAAGGTGGACGGGCAAAGGCGAGAAGCGGACTTGGGAGGAGCATATGAGCAACAACGACATCCGCGCAGAGGTTGCCGCGGTACTGGAAACGTTCGAGGTTTATGAGAAGAGCTGCTCGGAGCATGGTGGAGGAGGGTTGACGGTCTTTGTGCGAAAGGAGCTACCGCACACCGTACGGACAGACTTGGACCCGATCCTGGACGTCGTACAGATCCAAATCGGCGGAGTGAACGTGCTGGGGGCGTACATACCGCCGACGCCAACGCAGGACATAGTCACGCAGGACGAGATGTGGTCGAGGTTCTCAGGGATTGTGGCTGGGTGCGACATGCCGATCGTGATCGGGGACCTGAACGCACAATTGGGGATAAGCGAGGCAAACAGCGACGTGCGTGGCACGAGCTTCGGAAAGCGTGTAATCCGGTCGGAGCAGCGCACGGATCAGAGGGGGAAACAGCTACTTGCACTGTGCCACGAGGAGGAGCTGGTGATCCTGAATGGGCGCCTCGAGCCGGGGGCAACAACTCGCGCAGGAAAGGATGGCGAGCGGGACAGCACCTTGGACTACGCAATCGTGCCGCAGAGCTGCTACGGGACGGTCACCCAGCTTACATTTGTGAAGGAAGGCTGGGTCGTCACCTCAGACCACATGGCCCTGAGCCTGACCATCAAGGCCAACCTCGTGCGACCAGCTGCGAAGGAGAACAAGCCGCACTGCAAGCCCGTGCCGTGCGACTTCCACTTCCTCGCAATAATGCGAAACCTCTACGACGAGCCCTGGGTCAAGGAGGCAATGCAAGAGTACGAGCAACTTCAAGCTGGATCCGACAAGTGCAACCGGCTCATCCAGATCATGGCAGCGGTGAACAAGGTCGCGAAGAAGAAGTACGACAAGGTCAGCGTACACGAAGAGGCGGACAAGTTCCTCAACGGCTTTGCGGACTCGGCAGAGAGGGCCGAGATCGATCGGAAGCTGTCACGCACGCCTTCTTGAGCTGCGATCCCTCATGGAGAAGGACGAGTGGAAGAAGGAGTACCAGGGGAAGACGCGGGAGCTGGAGAAGGAGCGGAAGAAGTTGGAGAAGAGGATGCGGAGGGTTGCTGAGCGAGAGAACTCCAAGCTGCTAGAGCGACTCTTCAGGCGAGAGCCTAAGGGGTACTACCAGCTGCTTGGAAAGGCTCACGCAAGGCGCAAGGGCAACCCCGTGCCCTTTGCAGAGCTGGTGCGCCACATGGAGATGGTCGCCAGCGCCGAGTACGTGACCAAGATCGAGGAGGATCCAAGGCTCACGTTTCCACCACTTCCCAAGGCTACGATCACGCCTTCTGGAGACCTGCTGCGCCCCATCACCCTCAAGGAGCTGGAGAGGGTCTTGAAGAAGGCCCCCAACGGCAAGGCAAAGGACGAGGATGGGATCCGGCTCGAGTTCGTCAAGTACGGGACTGCAGTACTGAAGCAAGCTGTTGTCAACCTCCTCAACGACGTGCTCAATGGCGTCAAGATGGATGACTGGGGCCAGACACTGCTGGTGATGCTGCACAAGAAGGGGCCCAAGAACGTGGCTGGCAACTACCGAGGCATCAGCATAGAGAGGATGCTGGAGAAGGTCTTCTCCCTGGTCTGGAACGCTCCGCTAGCTCCCTGGGCTGAGTGCAACAAGCTGTTGGAAGGCTCGCAGTTTGGATTCCGTGCACGGAGATCGAACCTTCATGCAGTGTTCCTTGCCGAGGCACTCTTCTCCCTGGCCAAGGCACGCAAGGAGAAGCTGATCATGGTCTTTGTAGATTTCACAAAGGCTTTTGACACGGTGGAGCGCCCCAGGTTATGGCAGAAGCTGGAGGAGATGGGTGTACCCAAACAGGTTGTTGACATGTTCGAGATGGCGTTCGGGCGCGTGTGGGGACGGCTCCGGGATGAAGACGGGCTAGCAATTACCTAGGGAAGCGGGTCTTAGAAGGGGGGAATAACACAACAAACACCAGGAACGCCACTGCCTCATCCGCACCTGTCTCTGGGCGCCTGTGACCAGGGGTCTTTCATTTCTTCCTCTGTGAAACATGTGGAAATAGATGGTGGACCCGGGACCCGCATCTCATCTCAAAAGTGTCAGAGTGCAGGGATTGACTGTGGACTGCATAGGCGCCTCTTCGTTCGGTTGCGGCCACCCGGGCCGCCGATCCTTGCCGCCCAGCACTGCGCGAAAATTCGCATGACCGTGGCCAATGGGATACGCTGCATGACTTCCACATGAGTGCATGACTATCGAGCTGTCACACGCGGCAAAGCAGGCAGGGCGCCCGAGGGCGGCAATCAGCAGCCAAACCGGTGCTGCCCGCCGGCGTTTCGGGTTGCGCGTCGGGAAGCTTGTCAGCTGTCGCGCTGTGCAGGCGCAGACACGATCAAAGCTTGTGCTGGTCCTCCCATCTCCTCACGGCTATGCAATGCATGAAGAATGAGCCCGTTCTCGGCAACCTGAGCATAGCTCTTCAGATATCCCTTGAGCACTCGGGCAGGACGTTGGCTATGGGTGACACTGGCTCTTGCGACCACCCCCGTAGCATTGCCATCTGGCCTTGCGGGAAAGCCGGTTGAGGGCAATGATCGTTGTGGGCCTGATTTGCTCCGAGAACCGTCGACGTAATGGACTTTTGGACACCGGCCATCTCAGACGTTCTGGTGTGACGTCAGAAACCTAGCAGACATCCTGCACTCGGGGGCTTGGAAGGGGATCAGAACCCACGTCGGCGAACAGAAAAGTGCATAAAGCGGTCCGCTGGGGTGTTGTGCACCGGGACAGGATGAGATCCAGGCTGACCGTGAACACCGTGGGATCCGGAGCTTGGCCGTCCCCATACTGTGTAAGGCCATGCTCGTGGAGCAAGACGGAGATCAGACAAGGGAGTATCGGTGGACTTCAAATCCTCCGCCGGACTGTCCGAGACCCTTGAATCATCGCGTCGTGCCGGAGGAGCGCCGATCTGGGCGGCGGTGCGGGGAGCGGGGGCCGGGCGCCCGGAGGGCGGCCGCAGGGGCCACATGGTGCGCAGACCGGCGTCTAAGGAATCTCTGAATGCCCTTTGGCGAAGTGGATCATCGCGTCGTGCCGGAGGAGCGCCGATCTGGGCGGCGGTGCGGGGAGCGGGGGCCGGGCGCCCGGAGGGCGGCCGCAGGGGCCACATGGTGCGCAGACCGGCGTCTAAGGAATCTCTGAATGCCCTTTGGCGAAGTGGATCATCGCGTCGTGCCGGAGGAGCGCCGATCTGGGCGGCGGTGCGGGGAGCGGGGGCCGGGCGCCCGGAGGGCGGCCGCAGGGGCGACATGGTGCACAGACCGGCGTCTAAGGAATCTTACTGAAAGCCCTTTGGCGAAGTGGATATCGCGTCTGCCTCCGGAGCAGAAGGTCCCAGGTTCGACCCCTGGATGGGTCGGCGGACATTTTGCTGCGGTGGGTGACTGGCAGATCGCGGCGGGGCGGCTCGACGCCGCCCGCCGCCCCACCCCTCCCCAGCCCGCCGCCGCGCGCCAGACGTGCGCGCTTCGGTGCCGGAGCATCCAGGCCTGGTTTACTTCGTGGCGAAGAGTTTGTGCTTGCGGGGAAACCAATCAACCAGTCCTCGGCTCTTCCTGTCTCCCGAGCCGGCTTGCCATCCCCTGTCTAGCCGCCTCAGAGACATCTGTCAGATAGTTCCTTCCTTTCGCATTACACGCAAATAAGCTGGAGCTCCACCTAGCACCGTTCCTGCTCGGGGTGTGATCGAGATCGAAACCGTCGGGTACGCTAGCTCGCGACGCAACTCCGGACGTTGCATTGCGAGCGCGTCTCCCGGGCCGTCACAAAATCCAATCTCTGCACCGGTGCTGCGCCCCCCACGGACCAATGAAATGTCCAGAAGCGCGTTGGAGTGGTCACTTGCACCTCCGGAGCAGGATTTGCTATCCCAGCCCCCCAGGGGGCGGGGCACCGCGGAACCGCCCGACGCAACCCGCAAGGGGCAGAGCGTCGAATGCCGACGAAACCACGACTCAACTATGTCTTAATCCTCGCTGATGAGACCGAAATTGTGATGGAACTTCCCGATTCATTCATGTTGCGTCTTTGGAGGGAGCTTTGGCGGAACCGAACCGCAGTGCCAAGTCGGGTCCGGGGAGCCCGTGGAGCCTCGGCCAACGACACCACAGCACTCATGCAATGTGTCTTGACCAAAAAATGGGCCTTCCAGAGGTGCATCGGATGCCCGGCACCCGTCCAACGGTTTCCGGATTCCCGTTGTCGAAGGACGCCATTCGCGCCCATGCGCGTCGGGAAAGCTCCTCCATCGCCAGCAGTATCTTCATAAGCACCGAATCAAACAGTCTCGCGCAACGGGAGCCACCTCCTGGCGGCGGGAATGCCATCCACCTCGGGCCCGCGATGACTGTGCGGGTGGCGCCGGAGCAACTCGGCCAGCGACGCGGTCGGACGCAAACGGAGCACTCGGCGACGGCGACGGCACATGATGCTGTCGTTTCCGCGCCCCGCCCGGGCCCCGTCGCTCTCCGTGGGCGGCGCAGCAGGGCCGCGAATTGGGTCGCCCCGAAGGCCCCGGGGCCCGGCCCCCGGCGGCGAACTCGGCGCCTCCCGCCGGCCAGGGGCGTTTTGAGCACCCAGAATCACCATTGCGGCAGGGAGGCACGGCGGCACCGCCCTCGCGTGTGTGGAGTATGACTTGTGCTACGATCGCGATCGTCGCACGCATACACTTCGAAGACTGGCGCTACACCGGTCCCGGGGCGACCTGCTGGCCGCCGCTCTGCGGCTCTGAAAATCCCCGCGGACGCGCATCTCGAGGCGGCGGCCCTTTTCCCGGCCCTCGCTCGGCCCCGCTCGAGCTTTTCGGCGCCCCAGCGGCGACCTGGACCTGGGTCTCGCAGCGCGCTGGCCGCGGCCTCCTGCGCGCGTTGGGCGGTGCCAAAAGCACTTTAGAAGTCGGGAAGACGATGCGGGCGTCGGGAGGTGGCGCCGGCCCACCCGGCGGAGGCGTTCCCCCGCGGAAGGCCCCCATGTTCAGTGGGTGCCCTTGCTCCCTCGTCCTGCCGAATCCCTGACGCAGTGCGGCCCATTCAAGCCATTGATTTGACTCTGGACAGCGACGAGGACGGAGAGGCCGTCTCCGCGCCGGGATCTGCTCAAGTCGGTCCGTCGTTCAACGACGCCGTCGATCCTCGTCCCACGGTTCGTCTTCGTGCCCTCGCCGGTAGGATTGCGTCGCTGACAACTCGTTTCCAAAGGCCCGGCCTGTGCAGGAGGTCGTCTCGGCCCCAGCAAAGCGCATGCACGAGAATGCGTCATCAGGTTGGGCGGCCGGACCGCCGTGATCTTTCCCCGCTGACCATTCCACGCAGAAGCGATCAACCACAAGATCTCGAAGTCCGTGCCGGATGTCCAGCTGGGAGCCACCTCTCCCAAGTCGAAAAAGGTTGGTCGAGGAACGCCTCCACTTTGCCTCCCCACCCGAGCTCATCGCTGTCCCTCTCCAGCCGCGGACTGATACCGCGCGTCTTCCTTCTTACGGCTCGACTTCTTTGTCCAAGGATCTCTTTGGATCCGGCAACAAGTCCGGCTCAAGTGCGTGTTTGCCGCGATCGGCGCTCTCGGACGCATCTGACGCCTCCATGTATTGCAGCCGATCTTCCGATCAACATCTACCAGTATTTCCTCGCGACGATGGAGCAGTACGCCAAGGAGGCAGCGATCCCCTACGAACGGCTGCAGGCCGGCATCTGCGTCCTCGCACAGCTCGGCGCGATCAAGCACATCGACCTCACCCCCGGCAAGGAGCACCTCGTCCTGGACCGGGCCAAGGTCCACGAGGCGGGCGCGCATTGCCTCGATTGCCTCTACGCAAAAGATTTCTTTGAGCACGGGGTCAAGTTTGCGCTGGTGAAACCGTCCGGGGACGACCTCAAGTTCCCATCCGACGTCCGCCTTCACCCGTACATGGGGACCGCCGAGGATCTGGTGCAACGGAACAAGGACGCCCTCCACGGAAAGCTCAAGCTGTACGGCGAGATGGCGGAGTGCCATTGCCTCGGGCACGGCATCGGCTCGCCCGCGCTGAACAACCCCGCGGAAGAGGCGCTCATCTTCATCGTCAAACTCGCTGTGGGATCCCACGCCGGGAACTCCAGCCCGTACTCCAAGATTCCGTTTTTTCCGCGCCCGGCGAAGAATGCCGAACTGGACATTCTGCGGACGATGCGTGCCAAGCTCTTTGTATCCGCATACAACTCCCCGCCTTTTCTCGCGCTCAACAGCGGCGCCGACTGCTCGGCCGTGCGAAACCCCGGACAGCCTCACGAGGGCTACCTGAGTCGTTCCTTCGCCACGAACAATGAGCTCATGGGGCACCAGCCTCCGCTCGCTCTGAACGAGTACCCTAAGATTCCCTGCCCCCAGCTCCCAACGGCGCATATCTCCATTGCCGACCAGAAAGCCGCGAAGCGCGACTTTTTCGCCAAGCTCGAGCCGTACCCGGACGTTCTGGGCCTCCTCTTCTTCGGCGACCGCCCGACCGAGATCGTTTCAATCGTCTCGGCTCCAGGGTGGGGCAACGAGACCTGGATGGGCAAGCCCCGGTTCGCCACCGTGACGCTGGATGAGCTGCGGAGTCGCTCCTTCTTTGCCGCCGCTTTTCTCGACACAGCGATCGTCGGCTACGCCCAAGGCGCGGCTCGCGTCCTTGCGCTTGGTTACTTCTTCGAGTTGGACAGGTGCACGATCGAGCTCACGGACTACATCCTGCGCATGCGGAAGCTCTTCGGCGTCCAAGAGGTGCTCAATAAGGCCCGCACGATGTGGGACGAGTCGCTCGGGCCCCGGATGCTCCAGCGCGCCGAGGCCCTCAGGCCTGTGTGGAACGTTCCCAAGGGAGGCGGTGCCGGTGAGCACATCGCGATCGATGCCTCGAGGGTCTCGGCTGATCGCCGCGCCATTCGCAGAGCTCCACCAAGGCTTGTCGGCAGACGAGTCCGTCGCTCCCAACGGCCTGCCGGACTACAAGGTCGACCTCTCCTCGCTGCGCCCGGACTTCGAAGCTACCTTCGCGGACTGGAAGCAGTATCACGGCTGCGATGCGAACGTGGCAGTCGACCAAAGCTCGCTCCGGATCGACGACGAGGCGGACGAAGATCTGAGCAACGCTGAGCGTCTCGATCGGGAGGCGTCGCTGAGAGCTGCGGAACTCCTCACGGACTTGACTTTCTCGGATGCCGAGGTCGTCAGGAAGGCTGTGCTGGTGCAGAGCACGGGGATCGCCCGTGCCGCGAAGGAGAAGGCTGCCGATCGTGCGGAGCGGTCTTCCCGCACGGAGCTGCGCCACATGGCGTTCCAGACAGTCGAGGACTACGACAACCTTCCCGAGGCGGAACAGGAGGCCGTCTTGGGGCGGATGAAGGCAACGAGAGGCATGGAGCGGCTGCGGAGGCTCGAGGTTGGCATAGTCAAGTTTGCTGCGGAGCTCGGCCTATTGCCCGAGAAGCTGCCCGATCTGGCCAAGCTCGACGAGCCCACTCTCCGGAAGCTGATCGACATTGCGACCATGAAGCTTAATCGGTACCGCCAGCTGAAGCCGTACTCGGACTTTGCGATCCTTGCGCACTGTCTCGTCTGCCGCAAAGACTACTGCAAAGAGTTTCGCCGCAACGTCGAGGACTCCGAGGAGAACGAGAAAACGCCGCATCCGAAAGCAGGCGGCTGCACTGCGAAGAAGCTCACGATGGGATGGACTGCTCTTCCTTCCTACCCCGGCATCGAAAGCCTCGAACCCCTCATCAACGTCTTCATCGCGTTCATGGATGCCGAGGCCCTGAAGCGCCCCGATCGGATCCTTGTGATCAACCTCGCGCAGGTCGCCACCAGCTTCGCTATGCTGGTACGCGACTACGAGGCTCAGGGCCATGCTCAGGCCGTCTACCTCGCCGACAAGTACAAGCTCATCATGGAGTTCTATGTCAAGCAGCAGTCGCTTGTCGACTGGCTCGGGGACTCGGACGAGGCCGTGGCGCAGAAGAAGGCGCTCAAGAACGGCTTCATCGAGGGGCTGAAGGAAGGCCTCGACCGTGCGGGCCGCTGCGCCGTTGCGAGCCGCGTGCCGCAGCCTCTTGAGAGCGACTCCAAGTCGCTTTCTATTTATGCGTTCGGCTCCCTGAAGACGCAGCGTTCGGCGGCGCAGTACGAGGAGCTCGAGGACCGCACCTACTTGAACTATGCCGCAGTGGTCAACGCGCGCAAGATGACGGATAACGCCGTGAGCAAGAAGCGGGGCGAGCGGCGCAAGGCGGGCAACCAGGCCATCGACCGCTTCCTGGTCAAGAAGTAGAATCGGTGCGGAGACTTAGAGTTCTATGCAACGGGATGTTTGATGTATCGATCTGTATCTGTGTTGGTATA